CAATCTCCTGCCTTTACCCCACATCTATACACCCCACTTCTATCCAAATAATCATCCAATCCCCTCTTGAATGCCTCAATTGGACTTGTCCCCAACTTATTTCCAGGCAATGCATTCTAGACCCTAACTACTCATTGTGTGAAAACATTGTTTTCATGTCATTTTGCTTTGTTTGCACAACACATTAAATCTATGCCCTCTTGATCATTTTTTTCTTTTACGAGCAGGAACAGTTTGACCCCATCTACTCTGTGCAGCCACTCATGATTTTGAAAACCTCTATCAAATCATCTCTCGGCCTGTTTCTCTCCAAGGAGAACAGTCCCAGCTTCTTCAATCTATCCAGAGAGTGTCTCCCCATTCAGACAGCCAGGGAAACAACGGAAGAAACTTTGGGGGAACAATAACAGCTGCAAAGATAATAAAGCATGGAGAGACATGAAGAGAAAGAACAGAGTGAGGCTGAATGGAAAGAACATTTGTTCAAAGCTAGCAAATTGGGCGACCCTTTATAAATTCTTTCAATCTCTAATCCTTTGATTCCCCAGTGTCACCACTGCTTATAGATTCAAGAATTTATGCACTTTCTTTCTGAATGCTTCAAAGAACTCCTCACTATCGGGAAAAGACAGCAATAGTTTCTGTGACATGTTTGTCGATCCCCACCGTGAGTGCTAATGTAGGAGTTGCAAATCTGTACTGTTACGCTGCAGTTTGGGAGTGACACTTGCCAACGTAAATTGCAATGAGTCACATATAACCAGCACTGAATAATTACTTCCTTCACACCAGCTCCAGTGTAAATTCCAGGTTCTCAGCTCAGCGAATTGCTTTGGGTGAAGTTTGTACTGAGACGGGCCGGGTGTATTGTCAAGGTCTTTCATAGTCTTGCATACTCCTATGCACGGTGGCTCGGTGGTTAGCCCTGCTGCCTCCCGCACCAGAGGCCTGGGTTCGACTCTGCCCTCGGGCGACTCTTTGTGGAGTTGGCACATTCTCCCCGTGTCTGCGTGGGTCTCCTTCGGGTGCTCTGGTTTCCTCCCACAGTCCAAAGGTGTGTAGGTTGGGTGGATTGGCCATGGGAAATGTAGGGGTGGGAGGGGAGTGGGTCTGGGTAGGGTGCTCTTCAGAGCGTTGGTGTGGATTCGATGGGCCGAATAGCTGGCTCCCACACTGTGGGGATTCTATGATTATGTTCCCACATAAACCAAGAAGCCAGCTAGAGATCCTATCTGAAGGCGCAACATGAAGAGTCATATGGGGTTCTCCTGGTACTCTGTGAGAGGTGGGGGTTGATTAGGGAGTCACAGTGGGGTAGTGGGATGGCGGGGCATTGTTAACACTGGGTGAGTTGGGGAGTGGAGTGTTTGATCTGGGGGATTCGGGTGGTAGGGGTCACAGATTGGTTATGGGGGGGCGGTGGTGTTGCAGTGTAATGAAACCACAGGACCCAGAGATTGAGTCGGAGGAGGGGTGTTGGGTCAAGGAGGATTCGGAGTGGCAGGGGCCCGAGTAAGTCATAGGAAAGTCAAAGTTGGGGGTCGATAATTGGGTGTGTAGGGTATTGGGGCCAGGGATGTGAGGTGAGGGGGTGGGAGGTCAGCTGTTCATCTGATCAAAGGGTCAGTGATGACTCTGTAAAGGGGAGAGACAGCTTTATAATTTACCAAGTGTTAAAACAGGTTTCATTCCCTCTAACATTTACTGCGCTGAATAGTCAGGTGACTAAGTCTCTGTGCTAACTCAAACATTTTTGAAAGATTCCAAAGGCTGGATAATTGCCCATTGCAAGTTTCAGCTTTGCAGGTAATTCCTGCAGAGTCCACTACATGGGGCTATCCGTATTGTGCTGAGTCACAAATCCAGTGACCATTCTTCTATTAAGAGGATCTGTCCCATGATGTGACTCAGAGAGGACAAGCAAAAGGCTACCTTTGCATCTACACTTGGCTTTCACATTATTTATTCTTGCATGGGGCATGAGCATCTCTGGGAAGGCCAACATTTGTTGCTCATGCTTCGATGGGTGATGAACTGAACAGCTCTCTCTGCCATTTCAGAGAGAAGTTAAGAATTTCATTTGCTGCATAGGTCAGACCAGGTATGGACGGTAGATCATTGGCCAGATCATTACCATTGATCAGAAACTCAGCTGGACTTGCCATATCAACACAGTGGTTACAACAGCAGGTCAGAAGCTAGGAATACTGTGGGAGTAACTCACCTCCTGACTCCCCAAAGCCTGTCCACCATCTACAAGGCGTAAGTCAGGAGTGTGATGGAATACTCCCCACTTGCCTGGAAGGGTGTAGCTCCAACAATACTCTAGAAGCTTGACACCATCCAGGACAAAGCAGCCCCCACTTGATTGGCACCACATCCACAAGCATCCACTCCCTCCACCACTGACGCTCAGTCGCAGCAGTGTGTACCATCTACAAGATGTACTGCAGGAATTCACCAAAGATCCTCAGACAGCACCTTCCAAACCCACAACGACTTCCATCTGGAAGGACAAGGGCAGCAGATATATGGGAACACCACCCCCTGCAAGTTCCCCTCCAAACCACTCACCATCCAGACTTGGAAATACATCGCCGTTCATTCACTGTCGCTGGGTCAAAATCCTGGAATTCCCTCCCTAAGGGCATTGTGGGTCAACCCCAGCAGGTGGACTGCAGCGGTTCAAGAAGGCAGCTCACCACCACCTTCTCAAGGGCAACTAGGGACAGACAATAAATGCTGGGCCAGCCAGTGATGCCCACATCCCATCAGTAAGTAAAAATATATTTCCTTCTCTAAAGTAAACCAGATAGATTCATAGAGCTGTACAGCATGGAAACAGACCCTTTGTACCAACTCCTTCATGCCGACCAGATATCTTAAACTAATCTAGTCCCATTTGCCAGTATTTGGCCCATACTGCTCTATAGAGTCGTGGAGCTGTACAGCATGGAAACAGACCCTTTGGTCTGACTTGTTCATGCTTTTTTTTCCCCAACAAACAACAGTGGTTACACGATCATCATTCAATTAGCTTTTAATTCCAGGGTTTTTTTTTTCACTGAATTCAAATGCTAGCATCTGTCACGGTGAGATTTGAATCCTTGATCACAGAACATCAGTCTGTGATAGCCCAATGACATTACCAACACACCACCACCTCCACACTGAATAGGAACCAATTGTGGAAATTGAAGCTTCTTATAAAATTACACAGCGATGACAGGGGAATTATTGCAGAAGGTTCTGACATCCTTTGTGCGCATGGCACCAGAGACTCTGCAACACCTTCTTTTTTCACACTTACCATCTGGCCTGAACAGAATCACCCTGAGGCAGAAACGATGACATTTTCTGACATTTACATTTATACAAAGTTTTATATTTCCATGCTACACTGTCTGTTACTCTCACTGGTTACCAACACTGGGAATATTTGGGATGCCCATCTTCCCAGGTGAGGGAGCAAAAAAACTATTTGGAGATTGGTGCCAATTTTGGAGACAGTTGGCAAGAGATAAAAATGCCTCAGCTGGCCGCAGTCAGAGCAAAGGGGTAGGAATAGCACTTAAATAAAATCCTTGCCTTCGTGAAGTGTTTGAGCAAACCTGTGTAACTAATTAATACATGTACAAGTTATTGCAAACAGCTGCACAGGGTGGGTTCAGGTACAACAAAGCAGTCTAGCTTGGCAGAGGGCCAAGCAATGTAACTCACATCTGGGGAAAGGCAGCTCATCGCACATTGTTTCTGTTAAAAAACACACATGGGTAACCTGCTTGGGAAAAATACAGGGAAAATCTAACCTGACAAGGGCAACAACTTTAGTTGCCAGGGAAACTGACAACCAACCCTGTCAGCAGTGGATTCATTTTTCTCCCATTATTCCCTGAGAATATAAATGATTTGATAAAAGTTTCCTGCAGAAACTGGAAAAAGAAAGTTGTTCGGAGATAGTAGGAACTGCAGATAATGGAGTCTGAGATAACAAGGTGTAGAGCTGGACGAACACACCAGGCCGAGCAGCATCAGAGGAGCAGGAAAGCTGATGTTTCGGGTCTGGACCCTTCTTCAGAGAGTTGGGGGGGGGTGTTGGCCATGTGGCAGGGATGGTAGCGTCCCTACCTCTGAGCCAGGAGACCTGGGTTCGGGTCCTGCCTGCCTCAGAGGTATGTTCTAACATCTCTGAGACAAGGTGATGGGGAAACTATCTAGAAACTGGTGGAATGAGGCAGAATTTCAGGAGCCATGGTCTCGTGACCAAGGGAAGCCTCCTGGCTATATCAAGAAGCCTCTGGGACATGTGATGTGTACAGGAGGAGCAGGGGCTAGGGCCATCCTGCTCAGCATCATTCCTGTGCCATCAAGAGTAGCAGGTTTGCTTCAAAAAACTTGTATTACGCTCTACAAACACTCCTAAATTTGGGGCTCCTTTATCCATTTTAGACCCCAGAATAGTCCCAATGTCATGTCCACTCCTGCAAATCCACTTTAATCAGTCATAATTTTGATAAATAGTGTTGCTTTTCCTCCTACCTACAAGTGTTAGCAAAGGAAAGTGAAAAATTGCATTCCCATAGCACCCTTCTGACTTTAGGATATGTCAAAGCACCTTACAGCAAATGACATGAAATGTGCTCTCCTTAATGAAAGATACAGGGAACCAAATTATGCACAGCAAGCTCCCACAAACAGCAATGAGATAGTGACCAGAAAATCTGCTGTGCTGGTGATCCTTGAGGAAAAGCTACTAGCCAGGACACTGCAGAAAACAATTGTTGCTCTTGCTTTGTGTGAGACCACTTGAGAGGGCAGATGTTTAACATTTCCTCAAAAAGTCAGCACCTCCGACAGTGCAGCAATCCCTCGGTACTGGTTGGCACTGGGAGTGTCAACCCAGACTTTGTGCTGACATCAAGTCCTGCCTTGAATGCAATTTGGGCTTACGCTCTTTTTACAAATGAACTCTTTCTGTTTCATCCTGCCCATTCACTTACCAGCCTGGGCTGCTATATCAGTGAAGGTGCCATCTCCGTTGTTCTTAAAGAGGAAGTTCGGCCCATTCTCGTTGTCGCAGAATATATCGGAGCTGCTGGAGCTGACGATGGGCCCGACCACAACGCCACGGCCACCTGGGATGGAGGAAGAAGGGGAGAGATAAAACATAGGCAGTAATAGTGGTAACACAGTGTGGAGCTGGAGGAACACAGCAGGCCAGGCAGCATCAG